AAAGGAAAGTTTACCTTATGTCTAAGGTGCGAGATCTGCTCACGTGCTCCACGAACTGTTGTTAAAAACATGCAGTTTGCCTTGGAGTATTTGCGGTGGTAACACTAGACATTTCAGCTGCCAGGGAAAGTACGATTTGCTGCGTCAGTGTTGTCAGGAATTTTATCCTGTATTATTTTAATAGTTAAACAATGATGAGGCCTTTAAAATTGTATTTGATCATAAAAAAGTGTGATCCGATTTTATGCTTGCTATGCATATTATATGTTCATATATTGATAATCCTTGTGCTAGGAAACTGATCACAACGCAAATTCTCAATAACTAAAGCAGGAAACAGCCCCCTCTTATGGTTATTTCTATATAGCACTTTTTGTAATATCTAAAAATATGGGACTCTGGGTCAAAATGGAAAGATTAGGGTCAACAAAGTTTTAATGCTACTTTAGTAGATAACATTTCATAGTAATCTTGTGGTTAAAAGGGTTTGTTTTGTTTTGTTGTCATTCTGTTAGCGTTGTCACTTCTGTCATTATGGAGGTGGACGCAGCCCCTGGTGATCTCCTCCTCCACCGTCCGTGGGTTCCTGTAAACATCAGTGGTAGCCAGTTCCTCGTCAAGACCTTGTTCAGGGATTCCTCGTACCACATCCTGCTGACAGACATGAACTGTGTGTGGGAAGAGAGGATGGACTCTTCTGCTATCCAGAGGCGTTCACAGGCACGTGGAAAATACACTGCAGTTGACATAGTTAGCTTGTCATGCGTTCTGTTTGTAACACATTCTCTCTTCACATTCCAGGAGCTGAACAAACGTTTGCGAGCTCCAGTCAAAGCCTTCTTTTCTCACCTGTGTGAGGTGGTGCAGCCATGTCTATCACAAACCAGCGGTGGCAGCAGTGAGCAGACGGCTGTTGAAGCCGAGCTCTCTCTGCAGCCTCAGGAGGATGACAGCCTCATGATGAGGTTGAAGAGCGAGTTGGCAGGACTGCCCTTCCACTGGAAGTTTCACTGCACCCCCGCACCTGTCACATTGGTACAGCCCACTTTCCTGTTTAGAGATTTTGATTGTTGTCTGGTACAGTATATACTGATTGTCATATGTAGTTATGCAATAGGTTATCACCTGTAAGATGTACGATAAATAGTTTTAAATTATACAATATTTTTGACCTTTCCATGCACCATGAAAGTGGTTTGGATTTACTAGAATAACCAGACAGACATGGACACGGTTGAGAAAACCACCCTGGGAGTTATACAGTACACTACATTGAACGTTGCTGGAATGAGGCTAGAGACCTTTGCCACTTCTGTGTGTGCACATTATATGTCCCATATATTTGTATGTTCATTTGTATTAACAATAATAAGTCTAATTGCATTCCTTCTTACTGTGGATTTGCGGGTTTGTAGGTTTGTGATCAGCTGTTGCGCCCTCTGCTGACCATGAGCCGCCTACTGCAGCAGCAGGTGGAGCAGCTGGGAGCCTTAATGGTGAGGAAGGATGCAGAGATCCAGGACTACAGGGAGAACGGAGCCGTGCTCAGCAGAGGTGTGTATTACTGAGTTATTATCAGCTCATCAGCTAATGCTGAGCATGACCAGTGTGTGGCACGAGCTGAACTATGTTCTAGTTGTCAGTTGAAATGAAATTCGTTTTTTAAGTGCTATTCATTGGCATCACCAAAGAAAAAGTCATTTTCACCCTTATTTTTCATCAACACAATGCGGGTATCACTGTAAAATCCAGTCGACCAGTATCCTCAGAGTAATACTTTTATCTCCACTACTGTGTTTGAACCCAGAGCGACTGCAGACGGATGTTTTTGAGAAGGACACTTACAGACAGGACTTTATAAAAAAGGTAAGAGTCCAGACACACAACAGCAACAGCAACCTGTTGTTGTTTTCATCCTCTTCCTCTCATTCCTGAACATTAGCCGGCTGTGGCGGCTGTGGCAGCAACCACGTGATAAAATGTTGCCGACGCTCCAGAGAGCGGAACTCTGTGTCTGACTGAAGTATGAGTCGCTGCAACTCATTTTAATGTTGCCGCATGTCGCTGTCTAGTCAGAGCCAGTATCTGTGTGTGTGTGTGTGTTTACTGCGTGAAGTTAAGGAATTTGTCATTACTGACTGTGCCAGGCCTTACACTGTGTGTGTGTGTGTGTGTGACCAGACTGCCCAGACATTCCAGATCTACATGTGAAATTTTCAAGGTGTGTCGGTCGTGTTGATGGAGTGGGTTGTTTCGTGAGCTGTTCTATCTTCAATAAAATATTATTGGTTTGTATGGGTTCTTAGAATCCTAAAAAGTGCTCACATTTTAATGGTTTTTCTTAATGATGCATCGATGCATCAGATTAATCGGCCAATGGGAAATTGACGCTGATAATTCACAGATGGTGAATGAAAAATATATATGGGTCTTATCAGTCACAGATATTGTAGCGTTCCATGGCGCAACTTCACTATCTAGTATCTACAATCGTGAGGTAAGGGCACAAGGTGTTCTAATGTTGCCCAAAATATTTCAAAATGGAGGAGTCTAACTTCAGAATCCACTTGAAAGTAATTAGGAAAGTTTTAACCACAGCAAAGAGTGAACTGCCCGAAAAAATGTTCAGCTGTAAATTGATAAAAGTCTTCTAAAATATAGCTCCAAACATATTTTGTGCAAAACTAAAGGAAATATAAAAAACAGGTTAGAATTATCACAGGAAACAGCCAAATGAATTTAAGATGAAAGGCTAAAAGATTAAATAATAATCTAAACTCTAATGGTCACTGTACAAATTTAACTAAACAGATCAGAGCTAAAAGAGTCAGATGGCTGATAACGAGTTCAAAGTTACATCATAGGCAGATTTACCCTACGACTGTTTGTCAGTTCTGATACTTATTGTCATTAAGCAGTTTTATTCTGTATAATCTCACAGGGAGATGGTAATATCTGTGTATACTCCTGTACTCTGTGAACCCACCCCCCCACCTCCCTTCCATACTTCCCACATCCTACCAACATAAATCATTGATCAAATTCAAAAGAATTGCTCCAGAGAAATTAGACGCAGGTAAATTTCCTTTTCTGCTGGAACACACTGTGGTGTAATTCAGAGCGTGTTTGACTCATCAGTTGCGTCGTGTGGTGGTTTCTCAGGAAGGAAAACCAGATGTTTGTTGATGCTGTTTGTCTAAAAGGACAAACCAGGAAAGATTCACATTTTTAGATGGTGGACAGGCTCCAGCTCAGGTATACAAGGAGTCATGGAAAGTTACATCAGGGTCACACTGGTGGCTCTGTGTTTGTGATGCTTCCAGGAGACTGTTGGAGACCACAGGAGTAAAACACAAGATCAAAGCCTTCTCCCTGACTCCAGAATTCCAAAGGCGGCAGTATTCAGACCAGAGACCAAAGTGAAATAGAGTCGTGTTTGAAAAAAGTCACTAGGATGCGTCAAATGGAGAATCACACTCGGCCATTCACACACACACACACACACACACGCGTGCACACACGCACATGCTAGTACGTACAGTTGTGTCCATGAAAGGATGAAGGCGTTTGGCATGACTGTGTTGTATTTATCCATCAGGGTCAGGACTTGACATCTGTCTGTGCTGTGTCTGTGACTCCTGTTTGAAGGGTCAGTGTCTGTGTCCATGGTGATTCTCACTCAATAGGCTGAGCTTTCCATCGGGGTCGCTGACCATCACCTCAACATCAGTTAAAACTACATACAATATTTCTCTATTGCACTGGAGATCTGATGGAATATATGTTGACATACTTTTATTTTTACTTTATATTTTTAACTATTTATGGACATAAATACCAGCAACACACACCCAAGAAAGACTGAAGCAGGATCATCGTGAAATCACTTTTCTTATTACACCCTTAATAGTTCATGAAGTGGGGATACTGATTGCTTCAGTACATCGAGTAGAAACGTCGGAAAGTGGTCATTGTTTTATCATTTCCATCCTTATAATTTGTTGTTCTTACATTTCTCTTCCTCCTCGTGGGGGCGCCAGAACACTTCAAAGGAGGTGCAGAACATGTAAAAATGAGGACAGGTGTAGGACAACATACAGTAGAACCTCGAGATACGACCATAATCCGTTCCAGGACCGAGCTCGTAACTGGAGGTGCTCGTATCTCAAATCATTTTTTCCCATAAGAAATAACAGAAAAAAAATGAATCTGTTCAGACTGCTTATTAGTGCTAATAACAATGGAAAAATATGTTTTGAATTGCTATAGAGACATACACACAAAAAATATATAGTATATAAGGATTCCTGTGATATAAAATAAAATGTTTTAATTATGAGTTCTTACCTTCGACGCTTATATCTCGTGGTTCCACTGTATAAACTAGTTAACTAACATAGAAGGGTTTTTTTTTTTAATTTTCAAATGTACAATGTAAACATCACTTTTTCTTCCAAAAACAATTAATCTTTCTATGACACAAACTCTGGGATCATTTCTGATGTGGTAGCAGACCATATCAAACAGAACAGCTCTCCTGAGTTCATGTGTCTTTGTCCATACGAGCATGCTGCTTCTTTTTACCATAGAGTCTAGAGCAGGTATGGGCAAACTAAGGCCCGGGGGCCGTAGGCGGCCCGTTCAGCTTTTTAATCCAGGCTGCCAAACTTTCCCAAATTATATAATTTATTTATATTATCATTATACCTCTGCCTCTTCACTGCAGTACCCACGTTTTCCCAATAGATGACGTAGAAAATGATAAAAGTATTTTAGCCTTTATGCGTGACTTTTACGTGTTATTTCTCTTAGTTCCCATGAACACCCCATCTCTCTGCTACTAATGCGGCCCCCTCTGTTTAATCTTAGGACAATTGTGGCCCATGAGACAAAAAGTTTGTCCATGCCTGGTGTAGAGGTCGTGGACATTCACCACAGGGTTCTGACCTCGGCCGCTGGTGATCAGTAATCAATAAGAAAACCAGGGAAACAAATGAGTTACTGGCCAAGCACCAACAGATGGAGCAGATCCAATATCTGCCTCATCGCTGCCTTTGGAGGTTGGTTCCAGTCGTTGTGTGTTTGTGCTTGCGCCATTTGTGGCCTTTGTTTCCCACACCAAGAGAGGAGGAAGGTCAGAGGGCCAGCGTAAGAGAGGAGATGATGACAGGAGCAGGAGCTTTATTTTCTCCGCAGCTTTCCATGAAAGGCCCCTCCCCTGACGGTCACCACACAAACACCCCACCCAGCTCAGGTCAACATTTGCATGGGTAGAATTAGCTCATCACACACACACACACACACACACACACACACACACACACACACACATACTTCACACATTTGGATTTGACCAAGGATGTTCGAGGGGCGAGATTTTTTTTTAATCGTTCTGAGATCACATCAACTTCCTTTTAAGATCTACATTTGTTTAATTCATGTGTGTGTGTGCACGCGAGTGTGTGCGGCAGCAGCTGTGGCAGAGGGGAGTGTCTGCTTGTCCACACAGAGCAGAGCAGAACGGGCTGTGACGCATGGTTTTGGTTTTCCACAGCAAAGTGTTGGTGTGTGTGTGTGTGTGTAGGTCACAGATGATGTGATTTTATCCTCACATTTGTGCGTAAATGTGTGTGTGTTTATGATCCACGCTGACACATGCCCTGTCGGTTCCAGTCACAGAAACTTGTCAGCCTTGAATTGAATTGTCACCATTGTGGAATTTCGCCAACTTCCTGTTTAACTTCTCAGCTCTACATCCTCCACTGATGCCGCTGCCGCTCCAGTTCAGTGACATCTGACAATTAGTGGCCACTCTCTGACCAGAAACACCTCACATGAGCTGCACACGGTCACATCATTAGGCCAGTTTACCTTTCTCTAAATCTCCTTCCTTTGTTGTAGTTTTTAGGTCTTTTTAAGCGTTGAAGTTGTTCTTTGATGCAGCACCACTCTCCACATGAAGCCCTTCACTCAGATCCTGATATCTGTGTGCTCTGACCAGAAGCTCTAAGTTGAGAGCAACGAAGGAAAACTAAGTTTTTCATCCAATGACCGCAGCAGCTGATGAAGTCCAAAATATACACTTTGAATGAAGCGCAGCTGAACGTGACGTGGAGAATGAAAGAGAAGCAGCGAACGTAGACGGGCTGATTTACCAAGAAACTGTACTATTGGTTAGAAATCACAGTTTGTCAACACTGCACATCTGGAGCTGGCGGTTCATT